GAATAAAGTTATATACTAATATATTATGTGGTACATTGCTATATGTAATATATAACAGTGGATTACATGAATAGATATATCGTATCTATCAACATATTTTACAAATATTTTATTTAATATAATTTTAAATAAAATAATATATATTTATATTCAATATTTTATTTTATTAGTTTTGTACTACCTGCTGTATTGTATTGCCCCCAGCAGTTCCGATTTATTTTTCTGTTAACTTTTTAAATATAATATTATTAAATTATTAAATTATTTAATTAATATTTTGTTTATTATTTTATATTTATATAATCATAAAGAGTTTTATTGTTGCATTAGGGAGGGGCTGCTGGAGTGTATCGCTCGCTGGCTGTGCTGCTTGGCTGCCTGCTGGGGTTGCTGCATCTACAGCTGAATTTATGTTATAATAAATGAAATTATCTGATTTAAATGATTAAAAACACCAAAAAAAGAAAAATAAATTCAAAAAAGAAGAAATACAAGAAAGAAACCCACGCCTGTATCGTGCAGTGCACCCCGTGCGCAGCGGCGGCGGGGCGTGTGTGTAGCCGTTTTGTTGCAAGGGTGCTTAATAGGGTCAATAAAAGTCGAATAAAAAGTGAAAAAAGATAAAATAAAACATAAATACAATAAAATAAAAAGAAAAAGAAGAAAACCATCGATCAATGACGCGGGGCTGGCGCAGGAGACGGACACAGAGAGGTTCACTGGGGTGCGGCACCCCCTGAGCATCAGCTGTTGTTTGTTTGTTTTGTTTGTTTGTTGCTGCATATATGTTTGTATTTTTGTTTATTTTCTCGATATTTTGTTTAAATTAATAAAAAACCGTTTATATTTTCTCTATATTCCTCTTTTTTTCTGGCTTTCTACCCCAGCCTACTCGCCGCCTCCTCCTTACTGATCGGGGTTTCTTTCTCCCTCTATATATATACAATGCGATCTCTGCGTGTATTTGCGCCAGTGGTGGGGTTGTTGTTATCTTCTTCATCTGTATTTTGTGCTGAGGGTGGTGATAGAGAAGAAAATGTATCACCGGGACAGATGGCTGTACAGGGTCTGAATGCAGTAGGAAAGCTGTTTGAGTTTCTTGGTGAGGGTGACAATACAGTAGAATCTAAGCTAGATGCTGCCGGTGTATTTATAAAATCTATATTAAAACAAATACATCCAGATAATAAAGCAGCAGATGAAGCAATAGCAGCAATAGATGCAGCGTTGAATAGCGAGAAGATGACAACAAAAATTATAAATGAAATGGAGGATATAGCGACAAAGATAGATTCAGGTGTCAGTGCAGAAGAAGAAAAAGAATACAGAATACACATGAAAAAACTCAAAGATTCTCTTATAGAAGTTAATAGACAAGCTGTCGGTGAAATACTACAAAATTTTGGTTTCAAGCCGAAGGAGCCGGTGCATAGCGCGGTTGATGCATATATAGAGGCAATAACATCAGCACATGTAGAGAGAGTTTCAGAGAGATTCTCTCAATATATGTAAATATAAATTTATTAATATTATTTATATAAAAAAAATCACTTCTTTTGATACCTTTCTTTCATATTTTATGCTGCAACAGCCAGACGCTGCTGCAGCAGCTGCTACCGTGTGTGTGTGTGCGTGCTCCGGTGTATATACACCCCAATTAAAACCTATTATAATATACTCTGCAGCAGTTCTCTTGTCGCCAGTATTATATAATATCTCTTGACTCAGCAGTTACACAGCAGCAGCAACGGCTGCAGCAGCAAGTGCTGCTGCAGCAGCAGCTGCTGCTGCTGCTGCTGCTGCTGCTATTGCTGCTGTATTTGGGGTGTATATGCACGTACACCTCATATGGAGCAGCAGCAACAATTCATCTTTGTTGTTTAAGTTTTTCGCCGCTTTTATATTTACTATTTTTATAATTAATATATTATTTTTTAATTATATTACAATAGTAAAATATAATTTTATTTATATAATAAATATATACAGATGAAGGAAACCGTAGCTGAGGTGTATGTACAGCTCAAGCAATAGAATGTAGGGAGTTATATAAACAGAAAAAAAGAAGAAATAGAGAAAAAATAATTTAAATATAATATATTATTTTATATAAAATATATTTAAGTTATAGATAAATAACAAGAAGAGAGATAGAGAAGAAATAAATAAAAAATATATACATAGAGTACCTGTTCTCTGCTTGGCTTACATACACCTGCGTTATAGTTGATTTGTTACTATAAAAAATAATTATTTTATTCTTAATATAATTATATAATAAAGATTATATATATATATATATATA